GCCTCCCAGGCTGCTGGGATTACATGCTTGTGCCACCACACCTGGCTTCTCAATCAAATAAAATCTAACTCTCAGTTTTGTTTGTGTGAATGGCCAAAAATTGAATTTTGGGGACTGGAGTTGTGGCTCAGTGGTAGAGCACTTGCCTAGCATGTGTGAGGCCCTGGATTCGATTCTCAGCACCACATATAAATAATAAAAATGAATAAATAAAAATAAAAAGGTCCATCAACATTTAAAAAAAAATTTTGAACTTTGTACGAGGTAGTAGTTGGGGGCAATCTTGAGTTTTCCAAGAATCTTAGGGTGGGGGAAATTTACACGGTACTCAGGAAATGGGGAAAAGGAGCCCAATCTTTTTCTTGGGGTGCTCATTATAGTTACCTTGGTACCTGCTGCCACACTACTGATGTTGAGAGCTACTCCTTTATTTCCTCCAATCATCCAGCTCATTAGATTTGTGTTGGCTCAGAGAGGCCTCCCCAGTTGTCCTTCCTGCATTGAGGTGCTTCGGAGTCTCTGTAAGTATAGGCAAGTGTCCCTCCATCTTGGGCACTTTGGGGAAAGGAAGCTCCAGTAGTGTCACCTCAATTCAAAGGTACTAGCTTCCCATTTTTTTCTAGGACAAGCCATCTTAATCTTCAAGGCCAAAAGTTCTGTACAAATCCTGTCCCTTGAAAAACTGCTGTACTTTTGAAGTCAATGGCAACTTGGATGAGCTAAATAAATCTTCATCAAAACTATGATAATGGGGGCTGGGGATGTGGCTTAAGTGGTAGCGCGCTCGCCTGGCATGCGTGCTGCCCGGGTTCAATCCTCAGCACCACATACAAACAAAGATGTTGTGCCCGCCAAAAACTAAAAAATAAATATTTAAAAAAAAATTCTCTCTCACTATCTCTCTCTCTTTAAAAAAAAAAAAAAAACTATGATAATGGAGGCTGGAGCTGTAACTCATTAGTAGAGCACTTGCCTAGCATGTGTGAGGCAGTGGGCTCAATTATCAGTACCGCATATAAATAAGTAAAGGTACATCAACAACTAAAAAAAAAATTTTTTTAATATGTAATTGGTGCCAGGCTCAGTGGCACAAACCTATAATCCCAGCGGCTTGGGAGGCTGAGGCAGGAGGATCCCGAATTCAAAGCCAGCCTCAGCAACTTAGTTGAGGCCCTAACCAACTCAAAGAGACCCTCTCTGTGTGGGGATGTGGCTCAGTGGTTAAGTGTGCCCCTAAGTTCAATTCCCCAGTAAAAAAAAAAAAAAAAAAAAAAAAAATATATATATATATATATATATACACACACACACACATATATACATACACACACATATATGATAATGGGAGAAGTCATGTATCTTTATAGTGATATCTCCTTTTTTTAAGAGAGAGCTGTCTTACTAGAAATTTCAAGCCTAACAAGGAAAGGAAAAAAATGAAGTAAATTGTTATAAATTATTTACTCTGGAAAGTATAAATTGGAGAGTTATACTGTTTTTCAAAAGGACAAGAATTAATCTCTTACTGCCCTGAAATATGTTTTTGAGAATCTCTCTCTTTTTTTTTTTCCCCAATGCTGGGGATTAAATCCAGGTCCTTGAACAAATTAGGGAAGTACTCTTCACTGAGCTATATCCCCAGCCCTTTTTTATTTTTGTTTTGAAACAGAACAAATTGCCTTGGTTGACCTTAAACTTGAGATCCTTCTGTCTCAACCTCTTAAATAGCTGGGATTATAAACATAAGACACCAAGCTTCTATTTTTGCAACATGTTCTATTTTTTAGCAGTTTGGGCATATTTGGGGAATAGCCAATTCTTTGGGGGAAAATGTAGGAAAGTATCTGGCTATAGTTTAAAATTTATCTCCTTACATTCTTTTTATTATTATTTTATTTATTATTTATTTATTTATTTATTGCTAATTGGACTAGCTTAAGCAAAATTGTTAAGAATTTCTTACATTTAAACAAAGGATTCCAATGCTTAAGATAGTTCTACTTCATAATTTTAGGACAAGGGCTGTGGATATGGCTCAATGGTGGTGTGCTTGCTTAGCATCATGAGGCCTTGGGTTCCATCCTCAGCACCAAAAATTTCCATAATTTCAGATCCTTAAATAGCTAGCTTTTACATTGTAGCATCTTTTCAGCTGCAGCCCCTTGCAAAAATCCTATACATCTCTGTATTTTCAATTCAGATTCTTGGAAGAGGTAATCAAACTAAGAACAACTTTTTACACCAGGCCACAGGTCTATTGAGTCAGTCTTTTGGCCTCACCTTCTCATGTGTGTGAATGAGAAGACACTGGAATCACTGCTTCACCATTTAGTGCTTTGTCCTCCTGGACCAACTGTCTATACTTGCTGACCTTTTATTTTGCTGCAGGAGATGTGATTTAATAATATTACTCTTTCAGAGAATTAATTTTGCAGATAAAATTAGATCACAAAGGTAAAAACACTAGCAGAGTCCAGGATAGTAAACAAATTGTTACCATCTTTGTTGTGAGAAAGACAATGTCCTAAATGTTAGCAATATGGAGATCGAAGTCCCAGTTCTCCAGCATGGGAAACACAGGAAGGTCACCCTTGATCCGGTAAGGTGAGTACCATGACAGAACCAGAGAAGGAAGTATTATCCCCTAGTGGGATTACACAGGCAAAGGAGATTATTACATTTGTCTTCTGTATTTATCCATCTATCCAGCTTGGAATCAGAATTCAGATGTGGATGGTTATGTCAGGTTCATGTCCTTATTTATTTATTTTTGTGGTGCTGGGAATGGAATCCAGGGCCTCACACATGCTAGTCCAGGATTCTATCACTGAGCTACATAAACTCTAAGCCCTCATGTGCTTATTTGAAAATGAAGTCAGATTTATTTGTAGGGAAGCCTGACTTAACTGGTTATCTGACTTCATTTCTTACCACCCATGTGACTGGAATACACTTCTTAATCCAACGAGCTGCAATTTCTTCTGTGGAAAAACAGATAATAATGTAGGTTGAATATCCCATATCCAAAATGCTCAGGATCAAAAACAATTTAGAGTTCAGATTTTTTTGGATTTTTGAATATGTATACATGCACGATGAGCCATGTTGGACGGGTCCCAAATCTAAACACAAAATTCATTTGTTCCATTTACCATATGCATATAGCCTGAGTCATTTAAACACTGTGTGGAATTTTCCACCTGTGACATCATGTTGGTGCTCACAAAATTTCAGATGATAGAGTTGTGAAATTAATACTATTGTTATTATCTGTCATTTGTTGTGTGCTTACTAAGAACAGGCTATGGATTAACCTGAATTATTATAGTTAGGATGACTGATGAGCCCAAAGTCTGGAATGACTCCCAGATGTTGCTAAGCATCTTTATTCCCTCATGATACTGAGTAATAGTATTAAGCTGGAAGCCCTGCCTTTCCCTTTTTGAGCTAGTTTGTTTGCTTGCTTGTTTTCTTTCCTCTCTCCTTCCCACTGAGGTCATTTTCAAATGCTCCTTTTCCTCAAGGAACCCTCATCCCAGGCCCCTCAGGGTTCCAGCCTCTTTGTCCCTTAGCATTTGAATTGTCCCTGGCTGCTCTGAGGCGAGGTCCATTGTCTACCTGGACAGATCACACGCTTTCCTTCCTTCTCCCCCTCATCCTGACCCAGAATGGCCTCTGTCTTCTCTACATCCCCAGGTTCAACCCAGGGCTGAGTCCCATGGATTTCACCTTACACTTCACCAAACGAAATGACACCTCTTCAACACTTTACTTTCCTCATTTCTCAAGAGTATGGGAAATCCCTGGGGCGGGAGCAGATTCTAGAACTTCAGAAAGTCATGGATAAAAGGATCCTCAGTTTAGCACTGTGGCGCACGCCTGTAATCCCAGCGGCTCAGGAGAGGAGGCAAGAGGATCGCAGGTTCGAAGTCAGCAACTCAGCGAGGCTGTAAGCAACCTAGTGAGTCCCTATCTTTAAATAAAAAAATAAAAAGGGCTGGGGATATAGCTTAGAGGTTAAGCACCCCCAGGTTCAATCCCCCGTACCAAAAAAAAAAAAAAAAATCTTCAGTTCACTTTCCTGTAAAATGAGTTTCTCCAGTTCTTGAACCACACGGAACCCCCACTCCCAACCCCTCGCAAACTGGGAACAAAATTCCTGCTGAGAAAGGAAGTTGAAGGACTGCAATCCCTAGCCTTGACAGCCAAAGAAGCCCGGGAGCCGAGATCTGTCCCCTGGCCCCGTTCTAAGTTGGGATAACTAAATCTTCTCTGGTACAGCATCTGCTTTTTGTTTCTACAAATTGAACTGCTTTTGGGTGGCTGGTGGGGAAAAGTAATCAAGTTGCTTTTCTCCACTTTGATCAAACTGCATACATAATGTTTATCTTTTTGAGTATTTCTTATTCGAGTGAGGGGTGGAATCTGGCAAGCCGGATCCAGGTAGGGACCCTAGGCTAGGCTGCAGGGGACATTCTAAAGTTAGAGTAGCGAAATGACTTGCGCAGACAGTTTAGGAGCAGATTTGAGACTCAAACCTGGGTCTCTTGACTCCTGGCCACAGAGAAGTCCACGATCCCCCAGCTCCGGTCCTCACAGGAGCAGCCCCAAAACCAAGGTGACAGGGACAACCCTGATCCTCTCTGCTTCGGGACTTTAGTGCTACAGCTCGCGCTGCCGTTGGCGACAGCTCAGCTATCCAGGGGACTGTGGGAGCTCCCCCGGGATTTGGAAAAGCTCCAGCGCGGGCCCTTCGAGCATAGGGAAGTTTCTCCGGGCTGCCTGAGGCTGGTAAATGAAGGGGGTCGCCCGGGGCGGAGAACAGAACCCAGGCGTAGGTGTAGAGACCGAAGCTCAGCTCTTGGAAACCCCTCTGCGGCGCGGCGCTGCGCGGGCTGGAGCAGTGGCCGTCCCACCCCTGGCTTGTCGGCCCCGCCCCCTGCAGCCTGTTCCCCGGGCAGCCCGGGCAGCGCGCAGTCAGTCGATCCCTTCCGCCCGGCGTGCAGCACCCGAGCTGCCAGTGCAGTCGTCCGCTGGGCTAGGCAGCGGGTTTTCAGTCGTGCGCGGCAGCATGGCCAGGCCGGTGCAGCTGGCGCCGGGCTCGCTGGCGCTAGTTCTGTGCCGGCTTGAGGCGCAGGAGGAAGCGGGGACTGCGGAGGAGCCGGGTGGGCGCGCGGTGTTCCGTGCCTTCCGCCGAGCCAACGCGCGCTGCTTCTGGAACGCGAGGCTGGCGCGCGCCGCCTCGCGGCTGGCCTTCCTGGGCTGGCTACGGCGCGGAGTGTTGCTGGTGCATGCACCCCCCTCCAGCCTGCAGGTGCTGCGCGATGCCTGGCGTCGCCGAGCGCTGCGCCCACCTCGAGGCTTCCACATCAGGGCGGTGGGTGAGTGCAGGGCCCCCGAAAGAAGCGGCGTCCCGCGCAAGCTGCAGGGACCGGTATGCGATCCCCTGCCACAGGGATGAGACACAACCCAGAGAGAACAGGAGTTAGGGGGTGAGGGAGCCAGTCGTGTGACTGGAGGAGGGCTGGCTTGCTGAAACACTCTGGAGACCGTTCCTCCTGTTAGGACACTGAAGCGTCAGACCCCAGGGTATGCCTAGCTCCAGGATGCCTCCTTTCCGCAACTATTTAAAAGTTCCTACATAGGTTCCTGGAGGAAGGAACTTTCTACTTAGAAAAGTGATGCTATGGGCCGCCAGAGCTGCAGTCAGAGGGCAGGGGCTCCCGTCTACGCTTCATAGGAGAGCTTAGGGAAGAAGGATCTGTCGAATCTGGCTTCTCTCCCCCTTCCCCCGCCCTCTCTCTTCTAACTAAACTACTGACTTGGAGTGTCCTGCTGTACTGCATGGTGTGGTCGTTTGGGTTCAGGGTCTAGCAGGTTTTGGGTTCTTAACTGCTGGGGAAAAGAAAGAGGTGGTGCTCTGGACACAATCACTCCCATTAACCGAATAGACAAGCTTCCACATCCCCATTCTTTGTTAGAAAACAGACGGCAGCATTTTGCCAGTATAAAATAGCTTCTCATTTGAGAAACCAAGACTGCACCAGTGAGTGGTCACTGATACTGGCCACTAAACTAAGGTAACAATGCCGCAACCAATCATATAGCCTAGTATTTATGTGGGTTGTATTTATATGGGCTTGTGAGGTCCATTTGATGGAATGTTGTTGACAAACCACCAGTTGTTCCAGCCCTGAGTTTTGATTCCAAGGAACCCCTCTATCTTAGTCCATAAATCTTCTTCCTCCTTCCATCTAAGGAGGAGGAGCAGTAAATAAACAATTGTTTCAGTCCCCCAGGGCAAAAGAACAGGGGGGCAGGAGGCACCTGATGCTGGGTGTCATCTCTCCAAGGATAGCTGAAGCAGCTACAGGCCAGTGCAGCTAATTTTTGTTTGTATTTTAAAATTATTTGTTTGTTTATTTTTGCTGTACTGGGATTAACCCAGGGGCCCTTTACCATTGAGCTTTTTATTTTTTATTTTGAGACACAGTCTTGCTAAGTTGCCCAGGCTGGCCTTGAACTTGTGGTCCTTCTGCCTCAGCCTCCCAAGTAGCTAAGATTACAGGTGTGCACCACCATGCCTGATCAGTGCAGCTAAACCTTGGCTTCTCATCTCTATTCTGTCTGCCTCCTCCCCACTCCCACATTTTTTCCTTAAAAGTAGCAACTACAACAAAAAGCACTCATTGCAAAACTATATATGCACATTTTATCTTCTTTTACATGAAGGAGTGAGTGAAGAAAATAGTTTTCTGGCTCTGAGAGCAGTGAGCCAAGTAGCCAAGCCAAAATCCTCACAGGGAAGGGGTCTTTCAGACAGGCTGGATGAAAAACTCTTTTCAGTTCTGTGTCCTGGTTTTTTCTGGTTTTAATTAGTGGTTACATTCTCTGGTTCTCCCACCCCCCACCCCCCTTTCAAAGGGTAAGCATAGAGTCTATTGCATCGAGGGAGTAGGATGCAGTGGGGATCTAGACCTGGGAGTGAAATAAGAGAGGGCTTATGCTAAGTCAGAGGCAGCCATGATGCCACTATCTGGGCCCACCAAGCATTGCTGAATACTGATATAGAGACAGAAAATTTCCTTCCTATCATAATGGACATTATTGAAATCCCTGTAACAAAAGACAGATGTTGGTACACACCTGTAATCCTGGCTACTCTGGAGACTGAGGAAGGAGAATTGCTAGTTCAAGGACAGCCTCAGTAATTTAGCAAGACCCTGTCTTAAAAGGGTGGGGGGGGGGCGCAGTGCTGGAGATATACATCAGTGGTAAAGCACCCCTGGATTCAATCCCCAGTACAAAAACAAACAAACAAAGTAACAAGAGAAAAGCATAACAGATTTATTTAATCAAAGTTTTGCATGACTTGGAAGCCTTCAAAACTGATCCAAAAGAGGAGCTGGGGTTGTGGCTCAGCAGTAGAGCGCTTGGCTAGCTAGCACATGTGAGGCCCTGGGTTCTATCCTCAGCACCACATAAAAATAAAGATATTGTGTCCAACTACAACTAAAAAATAAATATTAAAAAAATTTATTTAAAAAATGATCCAAAAGATCCAGGGAGGGCTGTGGCTGTGGCTCAGTAGTAGAGCGCTTGCCTAGCATGTGTGAGGCACTGGGTTCAATTCTCAGCACCACATAAAAATAAATCAATAAAATAAAGGTATTGTGTCCAATACAAGTATGAATAAATAAATAAAGGTATTGTATCCATCTACAACTATGAGTATTTAAAAAGAATAGGCCAGAGAACCAGGTAGGTCTTAAAGAGAGAGAGAGAGAGAGAGAGAGAGAGAGAGAGAGATCCAGGGAGAACTGCTTATTGTAATGCTCAGATCAAACGAAGAAGGGACAGCCACATAGGAATGAGACTGGGCAAAAAGCTATGACCTGATGGTGATGGACGGATGGGGGAATCCCAGCAAGGCCCGTTTGTTCAGATACCCTTGGCTTCTCTGTGCAGCATTCCTTCCTCATATATGTAGGTAAGGACCCCTCTGGAATGAGAGTCTTATGATCTACTATCAGACAAAATAGGTCAGAAAATTTCATTATGGCCAGATCTTAAAACACAGTAAGGTAGGGGAAGGTTAGAGGAATATTTCTAGGTTTTATATTTGTCTTTGGAAGAAAGAGGTCTAATCTCTGTGACCCACCTTGAAGAAAAGGAATCCTTAGGTCTGCTTTGGAAAAAGTAGAACTGGAGGAGGAAAGATTTTGCCTCTGAGGCCATCCTCTATTCAGAGTCCTCAGCATGCCAAAGCACCAATTGTTCTTCTGACACTGTTATGTGGGTTAGTCCTCTGTGTCGCCGGTGTCCCCATCCTGCGCCCGCTAGGTAGTACCGCCTGTCACACAACTCAGGATGCAGTGGACTCCATTCTGTATTTTTCTCCTGGGTCATCATACCTGACCTGCATCCCTGGACAGGAATAATTTCAAGGTTTTTAATTATGTCCTTACAGGAATTTGGACATTCAGCTGGAATTTGGACAAAACCATTCATGAGTGTGTGACACCCTTGGGTTTAGTGCCCCAAAAACAAAAGGGGGAAAAAAAATCCATGAGAAAATTTTGAGGAGCAAAATTGGAGAAGAATCTTATTTGATGCCAAGTGATGGATGCACCAGGGGTGTTTGTGGGTGCTCTTGTTTTGAATAGTGTTGTTAATTACTATCCAATTTGGGATCCTGGGATCAGATCAATAGAGAAGAGTTGTCAGGGCAGCTTTCAGGCCACCATTAGAGTCCCAGAGGGTGGTGAAGACAGAAGAAGCATCTTTCCCCCAACGGAAAAATTTCCAGTCTGCTTGCTTTATGGGCTTCCAAAGCCAAAATGGGCTTCCAAGAAGGTGAGAGAAGAGCTGCTGTGGACACAGGTTCTCACTCTTGTTACTTTGTGGGAAAGAGCAAAATGCTAGAAAAGGACACGAAGAACCAATGTGGTCTCTTTGCTGTCCAATTTTTTTTTTTCTTTTAAGGCTCATATAGTCCTGCATTAAACCATCTGGGCACATGGAGTATTGCTATTGGTCACTGCTACAGAAGATAGAGGAAGAGGCAGGCCAGTTTTATAAACCCAGCAGTCATATGGCTCCAAGGAGCCTGCTGGCTGTGCAGACAGGAGTGACCCAAGTCCCCAGGTGCAGACCTAAGCATAAGTCCTGCATTTATGCGTTCTCCAAACTTTGTGCCTTTTCTTTCCCTCTTCATTTTCTGTACATCATCTTTCCTCTAGTGAGAAAATCGATGCCAGGAAGAATATTTTTTTTAAAAGAGGGACAGTTGGATCTTTAGTTTGATGACAGGGAGCTCATTCTTCTTTTGTGTGCTAGTCCCCAAGGGTTTGTGTTTTGTTTTTCATTAGCAAATGGCATTAACAAATGAAAGGGTGTGTTCTGGAAACTGCCAAGAGACAGCTGTTTACCCAGCAGCTGTGTGTGCAGAGAGTGGAGTGGTGAGAGGGGACACCTGCCTTTGTTTGGGAGACTCTGTTGCTACTGAGACCATACCTACTGTGACACCGAAAGTTAATGGTGGAAGGCCACTTGGCCAAATAAGTTTGTTACATTCTGAAAATTAGAGCAGAGGTGTCACCACCCTTTCACACTCAGCAGGGCCTGTCATCTTTTCTCATTGGGTAAAAATGCCCCAAATGTCCACAGCTCTTTTATTTATAACACTGGCTTTATGAATTCATTCATGTGCCAAGTACTATTCTAGATGTCTCTGTGGTGTTTGTTTTGTGGTACTGGGGATTAAACCCAGGGCTTCAGGGTGCATGTGAGGCAAGCTGTCATCGTCTACTACTGAGCTACATCCCGCTCTGTTTATTTTGTTTCGAGATAGGTTCTCCCTAAGTTGCCCAGTTTGGCCTTGAACTTTCAGTCCTCCTGCCTCAGACTCTTGGGATTACAGGCTTGCATCATCACACCTGGGTTATATTTTAATGTATCTTTCAGACTTACCTGTGCTCAAAGATAAGGTGGACTCAGTCTGTTTCTTCCATTCAATTAGAGAGGGTACAGCTGGGCTGGAGCTGTGGCTCAGGCTCAATGGTAGAGCGCTTGTCTCACACTGTGAGGCCCTGGGTTCGATCCTCAGCACCACCTAAAAATAAATAAATAAAATAAAGGTATTGTGTCCATCTACAACAACAACCACAAAAGAGGGTCTAGTCGAGTGGGAGGCCATGTTCCAGAAGCTGACTGGTGCACATAGTCTTCTCCATCCCACCGTGATTGATACACATGGGCCCTAAAGTTTCTGCTTTGGGCAAAAGTTCCCTGGTGTGTGTTTGGTGGGTAGTGCTGGTCAGGCAGGACAGCCTGGCCAGGGGGAAGTGATGGGAGGACCTTTCCACTTTTCATGTACTTC